GCGGAACGATAAGCTATTTTAAACGTTGGACGCTCCGACAGGCTATGAAAATAAGACATTATTCTTATGATGGTAGTGGCGACAGACAGAAAGTTTCAAGCAGCCAGGATGGTTATTCTGATTCATTTGACAATTCAAAGTTGATATTGAACGAGTCAGGCTTAACAGAACAGACAGCACTATGAAAAGTGAAGTTACTGTGAGATTTTTTAATCGAGGGGATCAACTTTTTACTATTTTACCGAATGAAATAAAGTCACAAAAACTAATAGAGAAATTTGTTTCATTTCGTCATTTCCTTGGAAATAACATTCATTTTCCTAAGATTTTCATAAAACCACCAAAATTTGATTTATCGAAAAGCATACGTTTTACAGTAACGCAATATATATCGTAAAACGGTTGAATGACTAAATCAGTATTCATTATTTAAGTTCGGGTTACATTTCTGACACCTTTTTCTAAATATAGCCTTTATTTCGAATTCAATTCTTCAGGTGAATACTGTAAACGTACCTATTTTCAGCGCAATCTCGATTTTACCGCTGATGATTAATTTGCAATTATAATACATAAACATACAACTACAATTGATGTGCAATACTTTGAACGAGAAAAAAAGCTAATTTGAATTACCGCGATAATAGAAGTTTACAGTAATTCAAGACAGGGAGCAGACATTTTGGCGGATCTTCTTTCGGCGTCTCCATGGTTTTGATGATAACATTGTATTGGTCGTCTGAGGAATGGTTGTGAGTATGATCAGCTTTATATAATACAGTACAGTATCTAAACGTAATGGTACAGATCAATACAGCTTTATACACTACAGTACAGTATCTAAACGTAATGATACAGATCAATACAGCTTTATACACTACAGTACAGTATCTAAACGTAGTGATACAGTTAGATCAATACAGCTCTATACACTACAGTACAGTATCTAAACGTAGTGATACAGATCAATACAGCTTTATACACTACAGTACAGTATCTAAACGTAGTGATACAGTTAGATCAATACAGCTTTATACACTACAGTACAGTATCTAAACGTAGTGATACAGATCAATACAGCTTTATACACTACAGTACAGTATCTAAACGTAGTGATACAGTTAGATCAATACAGCTTTATACACTACAGTACAGTATCTAAACGTAGTGATACAGTTAGATCAATACAGCTTTATACACTACAGTACAGTATCTAAACGTAGTGATACAGTTAGATCAATACAGCTTTATACACTACAGTACAGTATCTAAACGTAGTGATACAGTCAGATCAATACAGCTTTATACACTACAGTACAGTATCTAAACGTAATGATACAGTTAGATCAATACAGCTTTATACACTACAGTACAGTATCTAAACGTAGTGATACAGTTAGATCAATACAGCTTTATACACTACAGTACAGTATCTAAACGTAGTGATACAGTTAGATCAATACAGCTTTCTCTGGTAGTCTGTATACATCAATGCATAGTGTATGTGCGTTGCATTCAGTCGCGATTAAGGGAATTAACACAAAACATGACACTTTCCGTTCATGTACCTGTTTTAATAACGGGTTCCCGTTACACTGTTGTTACATCAATTTTTAAATATTCAAATCGTTTTTTTCTGTCAGGTTGGTCATGAAATGAGATCCACGTGCGCATATTTCATGATTCAATATCTAGCATGGTTAAGATAAGTCTGTAGAAATTATTTTTGGAAGGATTTTCTTTTTTGCTATTTTTCTCGGATGGGGTTAATTAGTGAAAGACAAAAGTCTTGAAATCAGGATTTGGTAGCGAAAACTAATGGCAGTTTTAAGATATCCGTGAAAAACACAACAGTTACCTTTTAGGCTTTTAATGAAACCTCGAATAATGGAACCATCGACTTCATGATTTTGTTTTTAAGATGGCCAGTTTCGTCTCATTTAATCATTCTTAAGTGAAATCTGGATTTCTATATTAAGCCAAACACAACATTGTTGTGTATTATCAAAATTGATCAATTCTTTCTTAAATCTTATGGAAATGAAGTTTTGTGTTTGCATTTCCTGAGAATTAAATCAGTACCATTGCGCGTTGTGTGTTTGCATGTGTACTTAAAAAATCCTGTGACGCGTCCGCCTTCTTCTCACAAAATATTTATCACACTCTCTCAACATATATATCTTTTATTGTATCAAAATTGTGTATAAAACAACACAATATATTCTATAAATCAGTTGATGCATGTTGATTCCACACTATTTGGGTTTTTTTTTAACATTCTTGGAGTTTTTCACTGAAATGGTTTTCACAAAGATGGTAAAACGATATTCTGAAAGCAAGCATGAATTATTGTTTCAGAACTCGTGAAAATAGCGTTACAGCAGCCGAATTCATACATTCGATTCACTTATCAGCGACGATATCTTAAAATATCGATTTTTGTCGCGTTTGTATCAAATTATGGTATTTAAATGAATTTTCTTAAAATCTGTTTCCATAAATTGATTACGTTTTATAGATATGTTTTTAAAAGAATCCATTATTCAAATAGTGACGCGGTTCGAAATATACACATATACTTGACGTTGTTCTAATATTATCAAAATTTATAAATGAAAATTACAAAATTTCTTGAATTATGGGGCTAGTTCACCTCCCCATTTAAATCTGATATTCCTGCCGATCATTTTGGATTTTCCTCAGTCGCCTCATGATCATTTCACTTTACATTTGAGATTATTTTAACGCTCTGAAATACAAGAATACATTGATAAATTGAACACAATACAATCACATGCACAACGATAAAGTGTAATTAACATCATCAACATTAATTATAGCAATTATGGATAGGTTACATATATATGCTTGTAAAAAAAATATGGCAACATGCCAAATATCGCAATGTGATTTACATATCTAAATGATATCGTCCATTCGGAACTTCTCGGATGTGGTTCAGATTAAAGGAGTTTCGACTCTCTATCAAGACAAGACCAATTTTAATAAAAGAAAGGTCGAGCACCCAAACACTAAATCAAAAGTCGTAGTACAAAGCAAGTTAAACGTGAGAGATTCAATATTTCGGCTGTCTCTCTTTATAGGCTATCAGGTATCTCTGTTAATTGAATAAAGACATCGAATGGAATCGAGAATGCTCATTTTCTTCCGGTAATGCTTCTACTACATTGAAGCAAGTTTTAAGTGCTATCAACTGCTTAGGCTACATAATCGTTTTACAACGATAAATCTGTTTCATTCGTATTTCTTCTCGATTTACTAGGCTATATTTGGAATAAATGCTAACTTAGCTTGCAATAGATTAAATAACAAAATAATGGCAGACAATGCTATGGATAAAGATTACGGAATGGTGTTGGATATAGGCACTTGTATCAAACCATTGTCATTCTAAACAAATAATCACACATATAACAATACGAAATATAAATAAATAAATAAAATAACTGAATAATTATGGAAATTCCACTGTAAATTGACATATTTTAGAGTCAACATTACCTTAGTATAATCCGCTGAATAAGATTGTGATAAATGCAGTTTATGAATTTTGTTTGAGTAGCAATCAATGTGAATGTACAAGTTCATTATTATGCCAATTTGCCAAAAGATGATGGTGAGCTCTGATATAAATGCACCAAATCGAGTATATAGAATAGGGATATTTGATAACATTTGATTTCAGTGAATTATTATTGAGATTAAGAGAATGTATAAAAAATCGATATCTACGTTGTGTTTACCCTCTGAGGTATTTATGAACTACACAAAATTTAGGTCATCTCAATTAGTTACGGCCCTTTAAAAAAACTATTGAGGTAGGGAACCGTATTGCGTAGACTTCTCCATGTTTTGACATGGATGAGAATTCATGAAACGTTTACGGGAATGTTACCATCAGGTACTGAATAGTTCATTGTACTATAATCAGAAAAATGAAGAAAATAAAACACATACCCGTCAGTTATACATTAAAGACAGAGGTAGTGACCTTTAAACGTAAATAAAACCTTTTAGACATATAGGTACTTGCAAAGGGGTATGTGAAAAATACAAAGACTTAACTGTAAAATCATATTTTTGTTCGGCTGAGCTTTCGTGGTTTCACTAAAAAAAATGCAAGTTCGTTCGCATTTGATTTTGTGAATGCAAGTTTTCGTGAAATCCGCAAGCATCTTAATGGACGCCACTTTATCTGTTTTTCGTTTCGCGGACATATAAATTCGTGGAATAAGAGTAACCATGAATCCAACGAAATAACCGCCCACGAAAATCAATGACTTTACAGTAATTTGGTTCAAGATACTATTATACAATTGATAATATCTTACTATAAGTTTGATAAGCTAGAACAAACTCCAATGTAAAATAAACATTGCGAGATATATATGAGTGTTGTTTTTGGCTTTGAATAGACATACCCAATTAAAAAATATCAATTTTGTTTTTTGTATCTTTAATTATTGATAATTTAAGAGGATATAGTTTGAATCTTACTTGATGGAAATTTCGCAGAGAAACATGCTATAGTTTGGGACCTCTTGAGAATTGTATTCATGATAATAAACAGTTACAACAGTATTTCCGTTGCCTTTGACCGCGTGACAGCATATAATTAGTTCTAAGATTTCCGATACCATTTTCAATATACGCCAATTTTGCTTTATCATATATCAGAACATTGTTATATTGCATCCTGTGAGTCTATGAACCGTATCATTGAAATCGGCTCATTGAGCGCATGTATTTGTCCAGGTTGCCAGCGCAAGCAGTTGACCTACTTGCATTTGTTAACAACGCAAAATTTCACACTATCAGGATACACCGAAGGAAAAATCAATATATTTTCGATATGAAGTAATTGACGACATACAATATAATCTTAATGGCGGCGAGACGATTAAAACTTCAGTATGACATATTTTTTTGAATAAGGCGATTATGTAAAATGTCACAAAATAAGACATAAATCTCTCCAAAACGATCACCCAGTTTCTTTAGTTATGAGCATCCTTGGCAGTAAACGAATGAATGTTTAAAAAAAAAAGGAAATGAAAAAAATTGTCTATTCAGAGCCAGTGGTATACAACTTTCGCAGGACAACATTTCATGAAATACTAGATAAGTGGAACTACATCATTACTAAGAAAAGGTTAATTACGTATGCATTTAAAGCCAAGTCTCTCTATAACGGCCACTTAATGGAACACCAGTGGCCGCTCTATAGAGTAAAAGTTTCGGCGCATCTCACACTTCGCCTGATTCACTCATTTGTCAAAATCGAAATATGTATATTTTCTGTAATTTATTGGCGATTTCAACAGAGGGCGAAAATTAAAAGATTTATGCAAGGGTGAAATCCCCACGCTTTTATGATAGATCAAGAGGTGACCTTTATTATTTCTTGAACTTATGCGGCGCCTGTGACAATATGACTATGTAAAGAATGTTTTAAAAATCAAAGTAGGAAAACACTGTTAAAGGTTGGAAGCCTAAAAATCTCCTATATAATATGTTCATATTAAGGTTCAAGAAAGTCAATATTATATAAAGTAGCTGTTTGATTAAAATGTTGGTTCCCATATTGATAAAGTTAGACTTGCTAGCATGTATTGAAATATTTGTTGCTTCTCCAGTTGTTTCGAACTTTAGTAAAAAAAACAACAACAAACATTGAGGTAGCTATCAATGTGAGAAATCAGAACAAATCCTTCTCGCCATATCCTTGATAAGCTGTACTACAGTCTGTGGCGAAACATACATCCATTCCGAATCTGTGAAAAATACGTCACTATTGTACCAACTACTATACTGCACTCCCACCCAGTCGGCAAGCTCCTCAAAATGTCTGTTTCTAAACAGGAAGTAGGAAGTTGGAAATAGTTCAATAAGACCTGATTCTGGTCTCATCAGAATCACGTGACCAAGTCCTGCTCCGTGAACTCCTATTAGAATATCCGTATGATATATCAGTTTCACTTGATCTTTGACACTTAAATCGTCCAATTGAACCGCTTTCAGATTTTCAAACGGAATCGATGATCTTATTTTATCGATTATTTCCTTTTCGTTGGCAAGTTTGCGTTTGATTTTCCCGCTTGGATTTCGAGCATGCGCAACGTAATTTCGTCTTAAGATAAGCGTTATGTTGAGATTTTCTCGACCAAAAGAACAAGGTTTTTTTGGAGGTATAACAAATCCATTTGCACGGTAAAGTGTCGCTTGTAACTCAGAAATAAAAGGCAGAGACTCCATTTGTGTTGTGATCGGACCACTGTAGGTGTCTAATCCAAATACTAAATTCCTAAAATTCCAGTCTCGAGTTTTTATATCTTTAACTCTTTGAACAGTTCCAAACACCATACTCCATAAATCATCTAACTTACCCCTTGGATGTACATCCAACAGAAAGACACATGTCTGACTAGGATCACGCGAAAACATTCTAGCTGTCAAAAAGGCGTTGTACATTTCAATCATTGTCCAGTAAACGTTTGCATAATCTTTTCTTTCAATAACGATGGCGAACGACTCTAGAGATAGTCGTTCAGTATTATCGATATATTTGTGTGGTTGTGTGAATTTAATAGCTTTAATGAAATGTTCATACGTTGATTTTATATTTAATTGCGGCAAGTTTGCATCACCACATGGAACTTGGATGAATCCTTTTTTAACTGCCACAAACTCACTATCCTCTGGCTGACCCAAGACCTTTTCAACATCGTCCCCACCAGTTTGCTTTGCGTCCATGAAAAGGCCAGAAATTTTTCCATCGCGAAGAAGAAGGACCCGCCTGTTAATGATATTAAAGTTTCCTTCGCATTGCTTTATCCACAACCGATCTACACCGTCGTCAGATGTGAAGTAATCTGGATGACTGGAGCCCTTAACGGCCGTAAGAATAGTCTTGGTGAGGTCAGAGCTTTTATCAGGTTTATACCTTATAAACGTTTCATGGATTCCGATGACAAACACACAAAGGAGGATCCATATAAGTATCTGGGTCCGATTAGATACTGGTCGTCTTCGAAAAAAATTCAGACGAAATCGCCCAATCCTTAACATGATAAATGTCCCAAGTCAGTCATCCGTAACCTGTTGAAATACACATATTTTCATTAGCAGTTGTTTGGATTATGATCATAAAATTGCACCATATACATGAAATTTCATATTTGATTTAAATATATTTCATTGCACACAAGTAGCAATAGAATTGGGCAGAAGTTTTACAATTTATATAAGTTTTGAAGAGAGAGAGAGGGAGAGGAGGGGGGAGAGAGAGAGAGAGAGAGAGAGAGAGAGAGAGAGAGAGAGAGAGAGAGAGAGAGAGAGAGAGAGAGAGAGAGAGAGAGAGAGAGAGAGAGAGAGAGAGAGAGAGAGAGAGAGAGAGAGAGAGAGAGAGAGAGAGAGAGAGAGAGAGAGAGAGAGAGAGAGAGAGAGAGAGAGAGAGAGAGAGAGAGAGAGAGAGAGAGAGAGAGAGGTGCATAACACGTACTTTGTATGTTTAGAATACTTTGTATACATGGAGATCATGCAAAATTTCCTATACCAGCCATATCAATTGAAAATATACCTGTTGATGAATGTTACGTGTTGTTTTTCATGAAGAAAAAAAGTAAATTATCTTTTTCTGAAGCTTTATGGTTTTAATTTTCAATTTCACTCCGAGGTGAAGCAAAAGAGGTCACACAAACTTGTTTCATAAAGGATATTTACAATTCATGACCGAAATCGGAAACGAATTCAAATACAATATAGGACATTGCACCCAATAAGCAACTCTTTCGAATACAAATGCATTTGTGTAAATACCACATACTACACGCATTTGCATCAAGAATGTGAAAAATAATTCGTTATATCACGTCTTGTGAGTTGAGCAGCTAATTTTGATCGATTGTCGCAATTAGTGCTGTCTCATTCATCACGTACTAACCTGATACTATCCCAAGTCTTCGCAAATATTGTTTTATCTTTTGCATTGTTGTAAAAAATAAACAAAAACCGAAGAAAAAAATTTCAGCAAGTTATAGTTAATTCAATATTTTATTTCATCTTTTTAAATCGGTTCCCAAAAGATTAGAACAACTAGACATCAGTATGAGTAAACAGAGCAATTGGCCAACTTATCGATTTAATTGTAGTAGTACCACATGGCGATGGAATTCTCCTGGAGGTAATTTAGAATGTTTCTGTCAATGCAGCTGTGTGAAATTTAATAGTGCATTGGGTGAAACCATTAAACCGATGAAAAAAAAAAAAAGAAAAAAATCATATCTGTTATCTTTGGTATGCAGCCAGATACTAATCAGTGGATTTTTTTTTATATCGGAAACCAGTTTTTTTAGGGTTTTCTTTTATTCGTGTAGTTATTTTTGCGAATTAGTCGAATTGTATCTTAACATTTCTAAAATTTCTAAAGTCTTTTGGTTGTATGAAATTGAAATCGATAAGTCTACATGTAGATGTAAGACGAAATATAACTGTTCCGTAATAGTGAAATGTATTCTTGATGATGATGATATATGTATAAAGTATCTGTAAACAAATACACGTAAAGCTTAAGGCTAGTGTGTCCGAAGTCGGGCCTCACTGTGGGAGTGTGGACGTCTCTCTATGTGTCAGGAGCCATCGTTTATATCATTACATGCCTTTCTCATATACTGTGCTTGAATGCATCCAGATGTTATTTCTACTGGTACATGTACAAGTAGCCGCTATATACATATCTTATTAAGCTGCACTGCAACCATTCTTTTTATGACAGCTGACCGTGCACAAATGATTAAGTAACCAGCTGTGCATAAATTGCTGAGAGTGCGTTCTGTAACAGCATTAATTTTCGTGGGTGTGTGTTGTGGGGGTGGAGTGGGTGAGTTTTAATTGATTTCGTGAGCACTTGTCATAAAAAATCATATATCCACAAAATATTGAAATAATATTAAGCAGATTTACCTCTAAATACCCGCGAATTTAAATGTCCAGAAAATGTGGAACCGCGAAAATTAAGCTCTACGAAAATGTATTGTTTCACAGAAATTTAGTATCTGGCGGATGATAATGTGATGATATTGGAAGAGTATACATGTATTATTCAAACTACATCAAATTACTTCATCACTTCACATTAGCTTTGGTATAAAATAACATATAATGATTCACCACCTCCCTTTGTAATAGGATAAATTCGAGTTTGATATTATCTGATATTGGTTTAGACCGAGGAGTAGCAAAGCGTGGCATTATCCCCAGCGCTCTGCTGTCGGAACACATATCCAAACAGACATACATCTACTTCATAGTAAGTTGATTTTTTGACGCAGATACTCAGTGTCTTTTATTGTTGCTACTCAACATGTGCTGAGATCAAATTTAAGGCCAGAAAAAAGTTGCAAGTTTGTTTCAGTGGTAACAGAAATAAGCCTAACAATCAAAGCACACCAAGAGCTGATGTGTGTACAAAGTTTCGTTGAAATCCGAAGACTTGTAGTTCGGAAAATCTTGTAAACAGCGAATTCTGTATTTCTGAACTGATATCCATAGCAACAGAAATTTTTTTTAAAAAAATCACATTATTAGCAAAAGCCACAACTATGCCACTGCCATGAAATGTATAAAAGTGTCTTCGGTTGAACGGCTTTCAAGCTCAAGTCCTCACGGACGGACGTACTGCTACTACAGCGGATCCGTCATACTGTGATATGTGTTTATAAAATGTATCATTTTACATACCTTTTTCGACTTCTGTGAATACTATGAGTAGTTATAAACGAAATCATCCGGGCTGACATGCATCTCCATTATGACATAAGAGATTCCAGTATTTCAGTAAAAAATTTATTATCCAGGAGCTGAGAGGTAAGTGGTCAACACCCTATGCCTATGTGTATGTTGCTTTGTAAATGTTTATTCATGTGCCCTGAACTTCTATTTTTCCCTATTCTCAGGCCAAGCTATGTTAAAGTGTCGATACATGTTGCGTTAATCACTTACTTCATGGTATATATATATATATATATAGACTTGAGGACCAGAACCGAAAAACTACATTACGGAAAAAAACTATTCCTAAACTTATTATCAGCATCCTTGCTGCCTCCTGTCCGAAATATACGTCAGGTTTGTTTATATAGAACAGCTGCCTCTCTCTGATCTCGGCGTGTCATTATCTCTCTTATAACCATAAAAACAAATAGATGTTATCACAAGTTGCGCGTGATCTTTAGTGGCCAGTAAGGTTTACTCTAAAAAAAACCTCCATGTAAATATGTATATATTTACTCCACATAGACTCCCCAAGGTTACATTACATATCCCAATGAACAACATCAAAATGTACAAGACACACCATGATAATCATTTCAATGAATTTTACAGTGGAACCTGTAGACAACGGTTGTGAGGGTGGGGGTGGGGGTTGGGTTGATAGTGAGCTCAAAAAACATATATGTAATGCCTTGTAAACATGGACACCAGATCATCGATTTTATACCCGCGAACAAGCCCAAACCGAAACAACCGCGAAATAAAAGCCCCACGAAATTTAAGAAATATACAGTACTTGTCACAACTGTTCTTAGGTTTTGTTATTTTCATTTCATATTCTTCCATCGCTATTATCTTTCTTTTTGATTTCCCGTTTCTAATGTTTAAATTCATCAGATTTTGTATCGTCGCTTTAACATAAAACAACTGCAAACACCAACTCACTTAAAAGTACAAGTGGTATACTGAATAGTTAGAACTCTCAGCGGGCAAATTATTTTCGCGTAATTCGCAGTTAACCAGCAAATATTTTTTCTGTGGAAGAGAGCGGGACGCCAAATTTAATCCTCTGCAACTGGCCCTACCTCGAAAACTGCGAAATATTAGCCCCTTGAAATTAAACAAACACAGTAGCCTCTTTATTCTATCTTATATAACAACAACACAACACTCTTATGCACCTTTCTATGGGTAGAGTAAAGGTTAATGGAACTTTTCGTTTCAAGGGTCGTCTGATTTTCCGTCTCGTCTCTCTACTCCATGCAAAAACTACAAATGAATTCAATTTTTTTTTACTGGTGTACATTATTTATAGCTGTCTCTCTTAAATGTTTTGGTCATATTACGATTGTTATAAGAAATTTTGATATTCACCAAAATGTGTGTTGAGTTCGGTTAATTGTGATCATTTACCGAATTACTTCAGGATTGATTGTCTATTTTGTTGCTCGCATGGACTGATGAAGAGAAGTGAACCTCGTGCAAATGAAGTGAACTGCGAACCGCTGAAACATTATGCCTTCTACGGACACTGCACTACATGACAGTGATAGTTTGCTTCATTGTTGTACTTATGTACGATAAGTACATTTTGTATGTAATTAAATATCTTTTTAACAAGTATTGACAATTCAATTGATTTGAAGAATCTGAAGAAATGGTCACTATTAGTCAGTTTGTTTATTCAACTTAAATCTTACCTTTAGAACTGACCTTCACCTCTTCTTATTTTGATGATCCACAATTTATCTTTAATTTCCTCATCGTATTGGATGTAGTGTGAAAGAATGGATTTTTCATATCTCTATCAGATACACAACGTAATACACAACTGTGCTGCTTGCTTTGTTGCTTTAAGTCTGACTGGGAGCCGTTGTGTATAGGCTTGTTGCTACGATAGCTGCGCTCCATTATTCACACCAACCGAGAATCAAGGGAGGCTAGTCTCACCATCTCCGACAAACAAAATGTCGTCAACATTGAACATCATTCCCGATGATATCGGACTTAATAATACTTCTAACGTATCGTTGAAGAAAAAAATTAAAAGCTAACGGTTTCGTATCGTGGTCGTACTTTCAACAACTGTCCTTTTAAACAGGAGACGATTATACAGTTTAAATTAGTACCCATGTTTCACAAAACAGCGGAAGAATGACAAGCCTCACATCCAAACGGGTCGAGGAATCCCACTTTACATGTCAGATAGGGTATGCTTTTGTTCTGCAATATTATATGTATGTTGTATTTGTTCTGTACCATCTTTTGGTTGAATAATAACCATGATAATAAACATG